GGCAGCCTACGTCTATTGCAGCATCACTAAGGGAGGATTCAGGGTCACCTGGTCCAGCCCTAACTATATGCTTTAGCAAAAAGGAAAGTTTGAATCTTAAAAGTAGAGATAGTGTCTCCTGAATCCAGACTGTGATGAGCTCTGAAACCTGACTGAAACTCTTCCAATAAGCCATTCGTCTGCAGATGGTCTGCTTGTTGTTTCACACTCCTACTCTGAAAGGAAGGTTGGAGACTGGCTGGTTGTTACTGATTGCTGTCTGTCTCTCGTCTTCTCTCTGCAGCCTGTTTGTGTGGAAGTGTCAGTGAGGTCTCTGCAGTCCTGTTGGGTTCACAAGAGTCTCCTCCTCTTCTCCTCTGATGCTGCTCCCCCGACTCCTCGGTCTGAACTCTGACCCGAGTTCACCTCTTGCTGTACAGTTAATGTGAGGACGTGTTTCCTGCTGTTGTGGCGTGTTGCTGTGACCCGTGTAGCTGTGTCTGGTTTGTCGGGATGTGCCTTTCTCACAAACTCTGACCAAACATTTGATACAACTTTATTTATAACGGTGGTGCTATCAGACTGTCGTGGTGTCCTGTCAGAAGATGATGATGATGAAGATAAAAAAGAGGAAAATGGATCTGTGTTTGATCCTAGTTATTAAAAAGGGAAAAAGTAGAAAACAGTTTGTATGGAACTTCATTTAAAAAGTAAAAGAATTCTACCTCAAAAGAGAACAAATAGAAATGAAGAAAATGTATTTATTAAGGTAGAAAATAAATATTTACATCCACATGGTGGCGCTGTCTTCTCTCTGCTGTTTGTCTGATAATAAAAAAACACTTTTCTTGGAACCCCACACAGAGGGATCAAAGGTCATCAGGACCTGTCAGGACTCTTGCTGCAGCATTTTGGATTAGCTGAAGGCTTCTTTTAGAAGTCTTTAAGGAAAGTATGGATAGAGGTGCACTCCCTCCCACTTTATGTCAAGGTTTGATCACCCTCATTCCAAAACCAGGAAAGGATCCTTTGCTCTTAGACAATTGGCGACCAATCTCTTTACTGAATAATGATTATAAGATATTGGCACAAATTCTGGCTAATAGAATGAAACCTGTATTAGATAAAGTTATTGATGAGAGTCAGTCTGGTTTCATGCAGAATCGTCATATCTCAAACAACATAAGATTAATTCTAGACATAAGAGATTACCCAGAACTTGTACAGGATGATAGTCTTATTCTTTTTTTAGATTTCTACAAGGCGTTCGACTCCTTAGAGCATGAGTTTATTTTTACTGCTTTAAATAAATTTGGGTTTGGTCAGTCCTTCTGTAATGCCGTTCGGACACTGTATTCCAATAGTAACAGCTCCATAGAGCTTGCCACTGGTACTTCCCCAAGATTTTCTCTAAAGCGTGGAGTGAGGCAGGGTTGCCCCCTATCCGTATATTTATTCCTTCTTTCTGTGCAACTCCTTAATTCGCACATTAAACTCAGTTCTTTAAAAGGCCTGGTCATTGCTAACAGAGAAATACTCATAAGTCAGCTGGCAGACGTTACAGCTCTCTTCTTCAGAGACGCCTCGCAAGTTTCAGTGGCCATTAACAATATACAGCCATTCTCTAAAGCCTCCGGACTTTCACTCAACCTGCATAAATGTGAACTTTTACCAGTTAAAAGTTGTTTAGCAACTTCAATTCATGGAATACCTGTAAGAAACTCTGTAAGATACCTTGGAATTCAAATAATAAAAAATGAGCAATCCAGATGCTCCACAAACTTCATTCCTATTATAGATAAATCCCAAAAAACCTTTAATCATTGGCTACAGCGAGACCTGTCATTGAAGGGTAGAGTTCTGCTATCGAAGGCTGAAGGTATCTCCCGTCTAACCTATGCTGCCCAGTCACTACATGTTGATAATACAACCTGTAAGTCAATTAACAAATTATTATACAATTTTTTATGGAAAAATAAAACTCACTACTTACGTAAATCAGTAGCTTTAAATTCATATGATAAAGGAGGCATAAATTTTATTGATTTCGGTGCTCTTAACAACACCTTTAAAATAAAGTGGATTAAAAAGTATTTAAAGAATCCCACTTCTATCTGGAACTTTATCTCACATCATGTGTTCTCTAATGTAGGCGCCTTAACGTCCTGCTGCTCTGCAGTTACAGTATTCCAAAGATACCACTGAAACTTTCTCACTTTCATGAACAAATTCTTTTGGCATGGGCGCTGATTTACAAACACAATTTCTCTCCACAAAACGGTTTTATTTGGAATAACTGCAATATTATTTATAAAAATAAAACTCTTTTTTAAAATAACTGGTTTAATAATGGAATAATCTTGGTTAGTCAGTTATTTAGAGAAGATGGACTCTTTTATAATGACTGAGTTCCTCAGGAGATGTACCGATAACGCCTAAAGAATTCTCAATAGTGTTCGATGCCATCCCATCTGGTCTGTCCATGTTACACAGATGCTCCCACAGTGCTCCACTACAGGTCACTCCCCCGGATGTGTTACATTCTTCTCCTGGCAATGTTTGCTTTTCCTCTCATAAGTCTATAAATACCAAAATAAGATCTCTCTTTCAGGATGCAATGGTCTCTGTTCCATCAGCCATATTTTATTGGGCCAATTTTGTAACAGATATTGAATGGAAAAAAGTTTGGACTTTACCACAAAGGTTTTTCTTAACAAACAAAATTAAAGAGATTTCCTTTAAGTTGATTCTTAAGTTTTACCCTACCAAACAATATTTGTCCAAATTTATGGCTGAAATAAATGTAAATTGTACCTTCTGTCAAGAGCAACCTGAAACAGTTTCTCATCTG